AGAGTGTTTGATTCCAGTATAACAATAACTGCATCTGTAGAATCTGTTCATGACACACTTCTGACACACACTCAAGATGCAAACATTATAAAATCCCTAGTATGACCTGACAATAAAGAGTGCAAGAGCTCTGTGTAGTTTAGCTGGTTGAGCATCTTACAACAAAATCGGTAAATCTGAGGTTTGAATCCTCACAAACTAAGATCTACCCAACTCGTAAAGCAGAAGGTTTGAGTCCTTATCGAAGTTGACCCAGTTTTTTTTTCTTCTTCTTAGTTGACAATGTGGTGCGTAATTTTTTCTGAGAGATCATTGATTTTGGACTGACATGGAATAATTCGTTCTTGTGGCCACTCTGAAGTTAAGTTCTGGAGGCTGCAGTCGCGCCAAATGTCTTGATTTTTTTATCACTGTTCAGTTGAAAAGGCGATAATCTTCAACCCGGCTAAAGGTGTCTATAATCCTTTGAATTTGAATGTCAAGGATGCTGGAGAAAGATGAAAATTGACTCCCTGCTTGAATAAAGACACAGTCCTCTGGTAGTTACAGCCGACAACTGGAATGGGTCTGGCCTCCGGGTTTGAGACCTATCATTTAACGGCTCAGTGCTCGTATCAAAAAAAGAAAGCATAATTAAAAAATAAAAACGATGCAAGCATACCATCGCCGAGGTACCAGAGGGTGAGACGCCCAAGTATGGGAAATCTGCACTGCAACTCTCCTTGGGACGCGAAGATGAAACAAGCACTGAATGGAGACCACGAAACTCTCCACCCACCTGGGATCGCCTTCTATGGGCTGACTACTTGAGGTTCGAATCATCACCAGGGACTCAGATAGTAATGTTTTTTGTCTTTCACTATGTGGTACCATTTACTTTCTGTGATCCAACTTGTCCACTGAGAGTGAAACGTCTTTATCTGAAACACGATCCTTCAGCTATAAAACAAAGAGTACTTGAAGTAAATGACATGTGCTAATAGATTTCCATAAAAAAAGTGATATCTTCTAACCTCATTCTTTTACTGTGATAACAATTAAAAAAGAATTTTAAAACATTCCTAACATTACTTCCGTAACATTGCTCAAAGAAAATGTATTTAATGACTTGAATAACTTCATGAATTTTCGATATCTCTGATTTAATCCTTACCTGAACATCGATTAACAGCTCAGCCGCTCTCACTATATCTACAGCTTTGTTGACCGGTCCACTGAGTTCTCTGACTTCAATTGATCAGGAGTTTGATTCTAGCAAAACAGTAACTGCATCTCTATAACCTGTTGATCACACACTCAAGTAGCAAACAAAATGGAATGCTCGGCATGAGCTATGAATAATAACTGCTCGACTTTTGTATAATTAATCAGGTAGATTATCTGACAGCAAAATCGGTAGATCCGAGGTTTGAATCCTCATATCGACCAGAAATGTTCATTTAACACTTTTACATGTAACATGTAATTTCTTACAAAGCTCGGCCCACAGTCTTTCTCGGCTCAGCTGGTAGTGCAATCGATATCGATTTTGCAAAGGCTGAGCTTTGAATCCTCACGAGCGTCAGTTTACCGGGTAACTTGTATCGCCACTTTGTTGTATGAAAAGCATTTCAATTTTGTAGTGTTGTATAATAAAATGAGGTTTGAATCCTCACGGACTGAGGTCTACCTAAGTATATTCCTCTTCTTGCCAACTCGTAGAGCAGATGGCAGTTTTAGGGGCTAAGGGTTTGAATTCTTATCGAGGTTGACCCAGTTCTTTTTTTCCTCTCAGCTAATAAACTGATGCGCCATTTCTCTGAGAAAGCATTGATTTTGGACTGACATAACATAAAAACAATTAGTTTTTGTGACCCCTCTCAAGTTAAGCTCATGAAGCTTCAGTCGCCATTATTGTCATGAATTTTTATCTCTGTTTAGTTAAGTTAAGGAGATAACCTCCAACCCGGCAAAAGGTTTTTGTATTAGTTTGACTTTGAATGTCAAGGGTGCCGGAGAAAGATGAAAATCGAATCCCAGCTTGAATATAGACATAGTCGTCTGGTGGTTACAGCCGACAACCGAAATGGGTGTGGCCTCCGGGTTTGAGACCTATTTAACGGCTCAGTGCTCGTATAAAAAAAAAATCAAAAGCAAAAATCAAAAACGCAAAAACGAAAACGATACGAGCATATCTTTGCTGAAGTACCAGAGGGTGAGACATCGAGGTATGGGCAATCTGCACTGCACCTCTCCTCGGGACGCGAAAATAAAACAAGCACGGAATGGACCACGAAACTCTCCACCCAGCTGAGATTGCATTCTATGGGCTGACTGCTTGGGGTTCGAATCCTCACAAGGGACTGAAGGCATTTTAATGTTTTTCTTTTTTTTTTTTTCTTTAACTATTCTATATAATAATAAAGGTCTTTATTAAGAAGAATTATTGTGCAAACAGACGTGCAACAATTAACATGAATAGAATGAATAAGGAAAAGGAAAAGGTATTAATTACCATTGA